CCAAATCTGCAGTTTCCTGTAGAATAATACCACAACTACGAAAACACTAGAAAACACATATTAGTAATAAAATTGGCTCTAAAGAGCCAAAAAATACTCCTAACTATGATCACGGGACGGGGATAAAATACTATGTAAAATGAATACATCAACAAGGCGAACCAAAACAAATAGGAAATACAGATTAGCAAAATATGCTAATTACGATAAGTGCAAGATAAGTAAACTCAATTTATTTGCAAACATGCTTTTAAAACCAATTCCAATAATAAATCCAATAATTCCAAACTCATAAATTCAAAACCAATTCTCAAGATTCTCAAACAATTCTAAAAACTCAATAATAATTTGAATAATAATTCAAGTGATAAAAACCAATTCCTTTTTTAAAAACCCGATTCTTTTCCTAAGTGTGCACACCCCCAAGCTAGTATCTTTATATTGAAAGACTATTCTTGAGGAAAGACTAGGGCATACAAAGTCCATAGTCTTCAATGAATCCGCATAGTGGGATTAATATAATAATCATGCTTGTAAAACTTTTAATATATAATTCAATAATTCTCATAAAATTCCTTTTTTGAATAAAGTTAAACTTTATAATAGAATAACTCAAAAACTCCTTTTGTATTTATTCTACAAGCTTTTAAAATCAAACCTTTTTAAAAACTCTTTAAATAAATCCAACATAATTTTAAAAACCAAATACCTTTAAACATAATAAATAATTTCAAACCATTCAAAACAAGATAGAAATCCATTCTCAAACATATTTATTAAAACATGAATTCTCAAGGTTAATTTATAAATCATAATTCAAAACAATTTAATTAAAATCACACAAACATGTTTACTCATTCAACAATTTCGAAGGTATCTAGCCACCTAAACGTACCTTGTTTCTGAATCTCAATCAACACTTTGCACTTTCAAAGTTCAATCACGAATACACCTTGCAATTAACGTAACCATAAGGTTATCACAACATCTTTAGACATAAACCCAAATCTAATGTGCATGGACTATAAAAATCTTTAAAAATAATACTTTAATATAAAATTATAGCTTTGAAATAATTATTTATATTTTAGAAAACTAACTATGAAGAAAATAAAGGAATAGGATTAAAGAGAATTGAATTTGCGTTGGAAAGAATAGGTAGAACTTGCAAAGGCTATAACTTCTTCAATATAACTCCGAATTGGGTGATTCTTGAGCTTAACTTCAAGGATTTTTTTGAGAGGAACAATTTTTTTGTGAAATAGAAAAACCCCAAAACTGATCAGAAGTTCCAGAAAATTGGCTCCAAAGATGTACGGGCTGATTTTCTTTTAGAAAAGAGGAGAAGAAAAGTAGGAAAAGGTTGAGGGAAAAGAAGAGTAAGAGAGAAGAAGAGAATTGAGTTTTTGGTGTGAAGAATATGAAAGGTATTAGGGGTATTTATAGGCTCATGAATGAAATAATTAAGGTAAGATTTTGTAGGAAGAATTATGGTAAATTTGGTTTAAGGAATTACTTGGAAAAGATAGTTAAAGAATTTAGAAAAGTCTAGTTTATGGTGATTAAGAAATGAAGAAATAAGGTAAGTATGTTGTCATGAAATATTAAATGGTAAATGGCTTTAATGTGCTTGGGTAAAAATCAAGAATGATTTAGGGGAAATAAATTGTATGATCAAATCTTTGTGAGATGAAGAATAAGAATTAAGGAAATAAGAAATTTAAGGAAGATAATTAAAATACAAAACTAACAACCCAAAATTAACATAGGGTGGCCGGAAATATTGAGCATAACCATGCTCATATTTTTGGACCTCCACTACAAGTTTTAGGATTATATTTGCTAGATTTTAAGGATTAAAAATGATTGTGTAAATAATATATTTTGTAGAAAATAATTAATTAGAAAATATTAACTTAAAACTAACTTAATTAACTAATAATAATCAGATTTTCTACACTTAGAAAATCCGAAAATCTCATTAATTAATTTAGGAATTTTGGCCCTTTTATTTATAAATAAGAAATATAATTTTTATTAATTAAAATATCCGAAAAATATATATATAATTTAGTTTTTATTAAAATAAATAGATAATAAATCTTATCCAAAATAATCATTGAGTTTGAAAATGTTGTTGGCGCCAAAATTCAAATATCATTTTGGCTCCAAAATTCAAATAGTAAAAATAAATTACTAAAATACCCTTTTTAGAAAATACTAATTAATTAATTAATAGGAAAATACGTTTCAAAAATACGGGGTATTACACTTCTACTTTAATTAAAATTCCAACAATATTCCTTGATTATAATTCTCTTAAAACATTATCAAAACACACTTTTATGCCCAATTAATCAATAAAATCATTAGGTATACAAAAGCCCCAACTCAAATTGTATAAGAACCCCAAAAATCATGTTTTGAAATAACTTTAAACCCTAACTTTATAATTTATTAAATCTGAAAACTGAAACCAAGTATTAAATAAGAAATTATAACTTTAAATCAATTAAACCATGATTTGATACTAAATTAATCATTTTAAAACCATTAAAATCAAAATCATCCATATCATATGTATGTAGCTATATATTAATGAAAATAAGAGAGGAAGGAGGGAGAATGGACCGTATAAGGAGGAAGCTAGGCAGCGTGGCCGCCCACAGCAGGTGGCTAGCCGACGACACAAGGCTGGCGGACAGCAACAGTGGTGGCAACAATAATGGTGACTTGGGCTACTTGTTCAAGCCTTTACCACGCACGAGGAGGAGGAAAGGTTGTGAAGACTGGCTGGAGTTTTGGCTAGGTAGCGGCGCCGGTGGTGTGTAGGTGTGGTGGTAGCGGCAGTCCTCACACAAGGGGGAATAGGGTTGCTGCACTTTCATTGGAGGAAAGAGTAAAGGGAAAAAAAAAAGAAAGAAAAAAAAGAAAAATAAATAAATTACCTTTACCATTTGACTTGTGTGGGGAAAATTTTGGGGATTAGAAGAGTATTTATAGTATAGTGTAGGTTAGGGTAAATTTTGGGCTTCTTAGAATAATGGACTTGAATAATAAGATATAAGGACCAAATATATGAGTAAAATTATTGGGTTAATTAAATAGACATGGACTATCTTTAAATAGTGTATGTAAATTATTTTACATACGAGCCTTTTAGAGTCAAACTATTATAAATCGTTTGACCCAAAAATTAAAACTCTTTTCATTTAAAACTATACTTAAAATGATTTGACCCAAAATATATATTTTATAAATAAATAATTTATAAAAATACATTATAAATATGGGATATTACAGTTTCCCAATCCCCTGTATTTCCAAACTAATAAACTCATTGATCGGGGCGGGGTTGGTCCATGCCAACCGTCGCTGGAACAGTCATATCCATTGTAGTCACCTCCTCCTGTCTAATGCCCTATCCCACCCCTTCTCCATCCTCTAAATCCATCTCATTTGCCTCCAGAGAACGCTTTTTAGTCTCTCCTTTCTCTCGAGCATTTATTTTCACCCTACACTTCCACACCTTACTAGTAACAACACTTTCCGCTTTCCTAATATTAAACTCACCAACAGGAAGGGTAGTGTTTTGTGATGCTTGCCCTTTATCTCTGTTCACAGTTTCAAGCTCATTATTACCAGCATTAGCCTTATCCCCGGATGTTAGCAAAAGGGAAGCAACATGTTGTGTTATTATCAGTCCTTCTTTACCAGAAACAAGTGTCTCAGCCACATCAGTAACTTTCTCTTGGAAAGTTTCTCTAGTTTCAGAGGCTTTGGCCTCCTTAACCGGCTTAGTTACAAAAAGGCTGCGCTTGCTGGCTTTTAAGGAATCCGCCTCCTCCATCTCCTTGTTCCTACCTCTTCTAGGCATCGCTTTTAGTTCTGTACTCTACCCTAACTTGACTTGCTTATCCTCCTCTGACACATTGTGGCAATCTTTTTCAGAATGTCCCATAATTCCACACGCGAAACAGAAAAAAGGGTAAGGGTGCATATGAAAATTCTACACGGACTTCCTTCCCTCTTCGATCTTTGATCATCTGAAATCTATGCAAGGGTAAAGTTATGTCTAGCATTAGCCTCACTCTACGATATCTTCCCACGCCCAGAGCATCCTCCCTACCTCCAGCACTTCCCCTATCCCTTGCACCGCTGCTTTAACATGATCATCTGAGCGATAGTTAAATGGAAGGTTCTTAATTCGCACCCAAAAAGGCGAGTGCGATAGCACAACCTCTTCAGGTTGTTCATCTCCTTCGATTTCTTTAAGCACAATCAACATATTGTCGAAACACTAAGGGCGTCCCTTCAGCACTTTTTTCGACATCCTTCCAATGAAAGAATTGGAAAGAAAAGATATCAGGGCTTAAAACCCTAATTGCAATACCATGAGACGGAGCCCATACACTCATAATTGTCTTCTTGAAAGCTTCCACATTGTATGACCTATCTGTTTAGATTTTACCCACCAGCATCAATTCTAGGTTATTCTCCTCCGATTTAGGAATTATTGCTCCATCAAACGCTGTTTTCTCCTCCTCGTGAATGCGGGGTTGTGAATATTTTGTTACAATGTCCTCTGCCATCAGTAAGCAATCCCCTGTCGGTGGAAAGCACTGTCGAATCGGTAGAAATTGCTATCACGGAGATAGGGTTCGCCCTTTTTTTCGAGAAAGCAAGCTCTTACTTTCAAGGGAGCTTTAGCTGTATGTATTTTATTAATATTATCATCATGTTTTGTTGAAATAATTTGAAGAATTCATTTGAAGTTATGAGAACATATTATAATCATAAAATAACTTGGACAACCTTTTTTTGAACCATTAATAATTCAAGATTCGCGCTTAATACAAAGTAATTTTTTATAATGCGATGTAGATTCCAAACCAAGGTGTATTCCGTAGTTTATGTAGTATAGTAGTATTTGATTGAGTTTGAAGCATAATCCAAATTTGATATAATGTGACATAGAAAGCATAACATTCAAACATAAATACTACAAACAAAACAAAATTAAGGAAAATACCCGTAGGATTGAAATAGTCCAATTTGGATAGGGCAATTTAAACACTGCCCACCCCACACATTTTCTCATTCACACAAAAAACTAATCAAATAATTAATTAAATAAGTAAATTACACCAATAAAATTCAATCAATCAAGAAACAAAAAGGTCCATCTGAGATTTATTTTCCTGATCAATAACATCAAGAAAAACAGGATCAACGGACACACGACTTTCCACGTGTACTCTAAACTTATGGTCCCACCACAAAACTCTCGCTACACCATCCACGTCAACAGCAGCATCAATCACCATCTCTCTCTTCGCCACGTCAGCCAAAAACCGTCTAGCATGGTTAGCCATCAGCTCCAACCCACTAAGCCGAGCCGGAAACCGGAGAAGCCGACAAGAGCGAGCCGGCTGGGACCCAGCTTCCATCTGAGCTGAGCCGAGGAGTGCGCCGTCGTAGAAGATAGACATGGTGGTTGAGTCGTAATGGATGGCTGCGATGTTGGGGTTGTTGACGTGGACGGTTAGGATGAGTTCGGCGTCTAAAGCTGGGAAATTGAATTTGAAGGCTGTTAAGTCGATGGAGATAACCTCGAAAGCTGGGTCACGTGGTCGGGCGGTTATTAGCGCCGCCGTAGCTGCCGCCGTTGTTGCGCCGATGATGGCGGATGGCCAGTTCCATTTTTGAGCTCGTGTTTGGGCTTGGGATTGGGCTTGGTGGGTGGTTATGTTGGGGATTGGGGGTGTTTGCGATTGCGCATTCATTTCTATGAATTTCTGAAGTTGTTGTTTGAGAAGGGTAGGAAATGAAAGAAGGGGTTTTGGTGGGGTATTGGTGGGTGAGGGAGAAATTGACTAGTTTGGCCTTGTTTGTACTCCGTAATTCAATTTGGGCCTTGTTTGTAATTTTTTGGTTGAGTCTTGTTTGAATTGATCAGTTTTCATGTGGTTCTATTTATCTGATTTTCACTTATCTGAACTTATTTGAATCTATTTGAACTTATTATACCTTATTAAAACTTATTTTAGCTTATCAGAACTTATTTTTCCTGAACTGAACCAAGGTTGTTAGGATAGGGATCCTACCTTGGATCGAAGAGGGGGGTGGGATCGAATCGATAGAATCGGATCGTAGGATCGTAAGATCCTACTTAATAACGAATAATATTATATATTATGTTATAAATTGACTTAAAAATATTTCTTCTAAGGGGTTTCAATGCTAAAAGACGTTGGTTTGCTTAAGAAAGGTCGATCTTCATTTAGCTTTGTTTGTATGATAGTTAGAAGATTAATAACACAAGTTTAAATTAATAAATTATGTGCAAATTTGTCAATATTGAGACCTTAACTATGACAATTGCAAGTTTTCAATTGATAAAATCATATTAATGTCTCGAATTCGCTAATTTATTAGCAATAATTATTGAATACATTAAATTAAGGTGCATATAACCTAATGAGTAATAAAAAAATATGTCAAAATAAATCAAAGTCTCATATTATAGTAAATGTTGGATTGGATCGTAGGATCGTAATAAAATCGTAGAATCGTGTTGAGAGCTTACCACTCATAATTAATATCAGAGTAGGATCGTAAGATCCTATAAACTTTAAGATCCTACCAAAGATTCGGATCAATCACGCAATTTTGGATCATAAATCGATGGAGATAAACTCCCTTCGTCCCTTATTTTTTGCCCCATTGTGAATACGTGGGTCAAACTTATAAAATTTTGACTATGAATTCTCGTTAATCTATAAGTGATAATATATACATAAGAGATCTTGTTAGAATCGTCTCAATGTATATTTTATTAATATCAAACTTTTATAATTTTTAGTGCATATAGAAATGGAGATATATACGTTTGAACAAGCGTTTTGGATACCTAATAAGTCAAATAAGTAAAAAGCTAAGGGACAAAGGGAGTAAATATCAACTTTTTATAATTTTCATGTGTATAAAAATGAAGATATAAACGTTTTATCACGTATCTTAAAAATTGTAAAAAATCAATTGGGACAAAATTAAAAGGACATAGGAGTACAATCTAAATACTCACCTTTCTATATACTCGAATTATCTAGCTAGTTTGTGGCGTATGCAGTAGTTGAATTTTGTGCAACATTCTTAAACAAGAATTAAAATCTAAAATCCACCTATTTAATTATAAGCTTAAAATTGAATAAGATAGATTCCAAGACCTAATAAAACTGTAGACAGAGTTAACCCAACTTGTGCAGTTGTACAAGTCGATCCATGGTGGTGGTGGTGATGCGGCGACTCTCCTCCATAATATGGAACACTCTATGCTGCCACTACGCTATCCGCCACCATAACCACAACTTCTGCCACGACTACCACCATAACCACGACTGCTGCTGCTTCCATAACCACGACTGCTGCTTGTCACGTGCTGACTATTTTCTCTAAGTCTTGTGCACGCTTCCCACTAGAGTCACCACCCGTTAGACTACTAGTCAAGGCTCCCCGAATGCTTAGCAAGGCTAAGTGTTGATGTTGTAGGTTAAGTGTGGTTTGTTTGGAAAACACAAGTGAGAATATGAGAGCGTTTTAGAAAGGATGCTTTTATAAATGCTTGAGAGAGTACAAGTGTTTGAACATAGCAAAAATGTGTAGGAGGTTTCCTATTTATAGGCTCTTTCCCTTGTCTAGAATGTTCTAGCCTAGATAATTCTTAACCTCCTTAAATGGAGGGTTCTACAGATCTCTATACAATTCTGAGTACATACAACTTAATTACAATAGTTCTAGAAGCATCTACAAAGATTTAGTCTCTAAAGTATGTACAAGTTATTCCTAGAGTGTTCTAGAGACTTCCGGGTGCATCTTGAGCTCTCCCGTACATTCTGGATAGTTGTGGGCCCCCTCTTCCAAATCTGATTGCACCATCATTCTCATTAGGCCCAAAAACGATGGGCCATCAAGTTTGGGCTCATTTGGAGTCCATTTGGCCCATCCCATGACCCATTATTGTGTTACTGTCACTTGGGTGTTCACTCATTCTATTGGTAGCCTGCTATATAAAGCTCTATAGGAGGAAGGTGTTCTGGCCTAGCCAGCCATGCACCAAGGGCAATCCCCTAGGCCAACACTATTGCCTTCAAAAAAAAAAAAATACAACACTTTTTAAGTTTTAATCATATATATATACTACACAAGAAAAATCCAAATTAAAGAATATGTATTTTTTTTTTAGCCCAAGAATATTTATATAATTGTCTTTGTCTATTATTTCCTAAAATCTTTAATTAATAAGTACATGATCAAGTATCAAATATCAACATGTTCATGCATGTTTCTCTCATTATATTCAGTGGCGGATCCAGGATTTTCCGAGATAGTGTGTCACCATCAATTATTGATCATTTGTGAAAGTACAATTTTTTTTCCATGTCTTGTTCATAATTAATTTCAATCCAAAAATTATATATATATATATATATATATATATATATATATATATATATCACCAAATTGATTTCAATCCAAAAATAGGACACAAAAATTCATACCACAACCAAATACAGTACTTAAGAATTCAATTTTACAAGTCGAAAATACTACAAATAACATGTTATAAACAAGTGGTACAATAAAATTATTATATTGAATTAACTTTATGATTTTTTAGTTAATTGATAAGCTTTATGGGGAAATATTAAAATTGGTTGTACAAATATAAGATATAAAAAGGGAAAAAAAATTATTAAAAAATTATACAAAAAGTGAGATAACTTAAGAGACCAGTTATTAAATATAACTGGTCTCTTTAATGAAAAAAAAGTAGCGCACAAAAATTGCGAAATGCAATAGCAGCATCAAAGAGACCTCTTATATAAATAACAGGTCTCTTTAATATTTAAAAAAAACCACAGCAAGTCTTTTGTAGCAATAGCAGCATTAAAGAGATCGTCTATCTTAATAAGAGGTCTCTTTGATATTGTTTGTTGTTACCAATAGCAGCATCAAAGAGACCACCTATCTATAATAAGGGGTCTCTTTGATATTTTATTTTTAAAAAAAAATACTGTGTCACCGGACCCACTATGACTAAAGGTGAGTCCGCCCCTGATCATATTATTAAAATTCTTCTTTATCAAAACATTTAAAAATTTATGTTTAATACGAAGTACAAATTACGGAAAAATTAAGTAATTATAGGACGAAAGGAGTACTTCGTACCAATGACAAGCGAATAGTTAAAAGATTGAATCTCGAAGAGATAGATAGAAAGCGTTACCTAAATTAGAGGCATTGGAAGCAATAATGTGCTGAATAAGCAGCAAGAAAATCAAAAACAATTTCATCCTTAATCTTTTCTGATCTCTCCTGAACAACTGAACAAGAGACTTTCTAAAATCTGAACTTCACCTATATTAAACGAGTTCTATTTATAGCCGAAATCTCTTCGTAGTTTCTTCGAAGCTGAGTAGAAGATAAATTTTCTATAAACATATATCTGTTATTATCAGAAATTTGCTTAAGAATAAACCTAATTAAGGAAATTATACTCTTTAATGTCTTTAATAAGTTTGGAATCTTTAATTTCTTTTACGTTGTTTAGGTTGATTTTCTCTTTTAGATTTTGGGTTCATATTGGGCTACTTATTGGGCCATTAAGATTATAATGGGCAGCTTAACGGGCTACTGAGACACGGAAAGTGAATCATTTTGTTGTTGATTTTATGTACTATTCTTACTCTTAAACTCTATGTAAAATACAAGTTAACACATTATAGGTTTGTCATATTTTGGAGAAGAAATTGGATAAATTAGATAATTATCGGGCAATCTAATATCATATAATAAATAAAGCCGCTCTTGCAGCTAGGCCACGAGACAGCAACACTTGGCATTCTAGTTTTTCGCCAAGTGTCGAGCCACGTAGGCGACAAATAGATATTATTGTGATTAGATTGGATAAATTTGTTTAAGATAAAAAAATATACATAAAATAACTTATAATTCTTTTGAATTATTTTTTATCTTTTTATTGACAATAGAATTTTATTTATACCTACACACACATATTATAATTAATATGAATATCCAATTAACAATAGAATTTTACTCTTATACGAATAACAACGTAATTTTAATTATAAACTAGTTTGGTGCCTGGGCGATGCGCAGAAATATATAAGATTTAGGATAAACTTTTGGCGTGAAGGTTAAATACGGTCATATAATCCCTTTTGATGTTTATATAGTAGTGTACTTTTGTAGTTTTGTTAGTAAATAGATATCTATGTTATTAGAAGTATATCGATAATAAAACTCTATACAATAATTTTATCTTAAAAAATATATCCAAACTTCGCTTACTTAGCATCATATGTGTCACAATAATACTTAGTTTTCGCCTACGTGGCATGACACTTGGCGAATAATTGGAATGCCAAGTGTCGTTGTCTCGTGGCCTGCCTGCGAGACCGGATTTATTTATTAGTGATATGATTTACCATGTATCATTGAATTTTTTTTAGTCTACTATTGATTTACTATCAAAGCTTTTTAATAAGGTTTTCTTCAAATTCAGTTGTAATATTTGTGTATGTTTGTGATTTTGTTAATGAAATCAAAGAAGTAAAAAACTACTAGGACACAACAAAAACTGTATAATACAAAAGAATCTTGAAGTGAATTCAAACCAATGTTAGCAAGGTATTAGAACTTTACGGTTTTTACAAAGCCTCCATAACCCATTTACCAGCCATACATTATTACAAATATTCCAATTAGGCCAATAATAAGAATATACAATCTGTTAATTTTACGTGTTACAAAAAATTACTTTTAACTTTTTATTTATTTTATTTTTTTACCGACGCACTCTTCTTTTCACAAAACTATACCACTTCTATTATTTTAGCGTCCCTTTAAAATTTAACACATATGTTGACATAAAACTTTGATAAACAATATATATATACATATATATACATATATACATATACATACACATATACATATATATATATATATACATATATATACATATATATACACATATACATATACATACACATACACATATACATATATATATATATATACATATATATATATATATATATATACATATATATATATATACATATATATATATATATACATATATATATATATATACACACACAATTTACAACCATTGGTCGTAGTAGACTAAGTGAATATAGTGCAACTTACAAAAACAGAAAATGATAACAAACGTGAAAAAAAATAATAGATAGTATTTCTACTCTCTTTTTATATCTAACATTTAAAAAAAAATATAAATACTAATAATAATAAGGAAAAATTGACAGGAATATTATGACCTTTGACCGGTCTGCCATAAATAAAATCACCTTTTGATAATCCTCTAATAAAGCAACCTTTACATATGATCTTCCAAAAATAGGATAAAAAACCGGTAACCAGTTTCAAAGGTTAAGGTTGGACACGTGTCACGTTGTGATTGATTAGGATTTTTTATTTTTAATTTTAACATATTTCCTTTTAAAAATTAACATGAAATTTAAAAAAAACTTAATTAAAAAAAGAAAAAAATAAATCCCTCCATCCCCTTCTCTGATCTCAGCCTGTTCAACACCCCTTCCTTCCCCTGTCACGGTGCAACCTGTTCAGCCGCCTCCTTCCCCTCACAACACCGCTGCGCAACCCAACCCCCTCCCCTTCATTCCCGCAACGCAACAACCCAGCCCCCTCCTCTTCATTCATGTAGCACAACAACCCAGCCCTTTCCCTTTCATTCTCGCAGCGCAACCGCGCAACCAATCAACCCCAATCCCGAGGCACCTAACCCTTGCAAGATCGCTAGACATCTTGCCCAACGTACTCCTACGCTAAATCAAGGGGTTTCGAGTTGCGAGAATCGTGAAGTAGTTGGAGTTTCACCACCTTCCCCTCCCAAATCCAACAACCCCACATTCCCCTCTAAAAGCCGAAAGCGGTGGTGGTGGTGAGGAGAGAGAAAGTGAGTTGCGCGGAAGGTCGTGGGGTGAGTGGAAAGTGTGGCGGAGGGAGGAGAGAGAATGTGCTAGCGACGGTGGCTAATGGCGTAGAGGATTTCGTCTGATTTCCCATCGACGGTGGTTGGCGTCGCTGATTTGTAGGGATAAGGTGGGGAGTTTCACGGGGTAGGTGCTGTAGGGGTATTTTTTATAAAAAAAATTAAAAAATAATATTTTTATTTTATTATTATTTTTTTAAAATAAGAAAATTGTAAAAAAAAAAGGCAATTAACCAATTACAAAGGGACACATGTCATATTAACCCATAAACAGGTTACCAACCGGTTTCGCCCCATTTTGGAAGATCGTGTGCAAAGGTCGTTTTATTGGGGGATTATCAAAAGGTGGTTTCATTTTATGGCAGACTGGGTAAAGGTCATAATATTCATGTCAATTTTTAATTATTGTTATTATTATTCTTATAATTATAATAATATAAAATATGCCCACAAATAAGTACACTCTTTAAAATGGGTATTCAAGGCAACGCCCGAGGCACGTACTAGTATATATATAAAGGGGAGTTTTTTCCCGAGTTTTTAGAGCGCCACCTTGGATTTTATTTTTTTAAAAAATTATTAGAGTGCCACTTAGGATTAATATTTTTAAAACGTTATAATCAGACTATGCCACGTAAGATTAGTTTTTTTTAAGCGCTACATAAGATTATAATAAAAATAGCGCAACGTAGGATTAATAATTTTAAAACGCTACTATAGGATTATGCCACATAAGATTAATTTTAGAGCGTCGCATAGGAAAATGTTATATTTTAGCCAATGAAAAAAAAGAATTGCAATTTATTTTAGATAAAAAAATTTATATTAATTATAAAAATAAAATCAGCGCGTTTTTTGTGTGGCTGGTCATATCGTGTGGCCGGATGAGACACACCCAAACACTGGCCGAATAACCCCTGATCGATTGAGTAACCCTTGACCAACCAAGTAACTGCTGACCAAGTAATCTCGACCACATGGTGTGATCGGCCACAGACGAAACTTTGTAAAATAAAATATTATCTATTTATATTACGAATTTTATCTAAATATGAGAAAAAAAGTTAATAATTCATTTTATAATAAAAAAATTCAAGTAGTAAGCAAGCGAATATCACAAAGTTTATTAGATAAATATATATTTAGTAAAATATTTTATTTGAAACATACAAATAAACCGTACATTACACCGAATTCATCTAGTTTATATGCATTTAGGAGTAACCCCTCTCATTTTATGTTAGATTTTCGAGAATACTTTAGGAAAATAGTACATAGTAATTTTTTTGCATAGATTTTGTCACTTTTTCTATCAATATTAATTTATACTCATATTTAATGTTCCTTTATCTATCTAGTACTTGTAGTACAATATTTATTTGGAACAAGCTAACCATGAATTTTTTAATGAAACAATAGATTTTCTATGTAATATACTACGGAGTACCTGTAAAATGTATAGTTGTACTCTGTATACTCAGGATATTAAGTCACATGTTTATATCATTGATTTATATTGTAATTTGGGATGCCTACAATTGTTGCATACACAATACACTTATTGTTTCAAACAATTCTCGTACGTGTTTTTGCTTTTATGAAAGCAATCTAAACAAGAACCTCAAACGCCCTTTAATCATCCACTTTCGAAGAAAATGACAACAATAGATCTAATAGGTTACGTATAGGAGTGAATTGTCTATTAAGTGGAAAATCAGACGAAAATCTTGAAATTATGTTAATAAGAAATTAACAAACTTATCTATTGCCGGAATGACGGTAGTGTTTTTGTGTCATCTGTCTATATGGGTATTCCGTTTTCAATCTTCTCAATTCCAGAAATGTTAAACTCATGAGTCATGAGTCTCATGACCAAGATACCTTCATGCAACATTCGTGTGGCTATGTGTTTACCATATAGGCATATCGCAAATATTTAAATAGTATACTACATATTAAAAATGAATAGAAAATTGGTGTATTATAGAGCTAATGCCACGTATCAACCAATAAATTTGAATGACATACAAATGATACACAAACTGTGCAAAAGAAGATTTAATTTGAATTCGCACCTGAGTAAATTTTAGAAGTTAAAGATTTAATTTGGATTCACACCTGAGTAAAATTTAAAAGTTAAAGGCCTATTAAATATATTTTGTATAAGTAGTCGAGACTAGAGAGTAGACCAAGACAAACGTAACAGACACTCCTCAAGCAAGTGGCGATATCTTCTCATGGAAACGTACTTGTAGTCCGGTAGAGTAATGGATCGGAAGCCTAGCAAGGATTGTAGCATTGTTAAGAGTATCCGTAATCCCCAAAAACTAAGAAGTCTCACTCTGATATTCATCTACTAGTAAGCTTAAAATCGAATAAGAAAGATTCCAAGACCTAATAATGATGAAGGAAGAGTTAACCCAAGCTGTGCAGGGGCACAATTCGAGCCTTTCTGCTGGTGGTGACCCCTGTTTCTAGCAGCAACAGCTGCTGCCCCAGCAGCTCCATAGAATGGAAGCTTCCCTCCTCTTCCATGGCCTTCATCACCGCCAACTCCTCCTTCACCACCATGACTTGCACTGCCAACACCATGGCCTCCACTACTATGACCCCCACCACCTCCATGACCGCCACCTCCATGACCACCACCTCCACCTCTCTTGCTAATTGCGGTTATATGCATTCGACTGTCTTCTGACAACACCTCAGTTTCCTTCATGTTATTATGGTCTTGCAAAGCTGCGTGACAAAAATGTAGTTAAACAAGCACATCACAACGAACAAAATCAATAAATTTGGTAATTTAATTTCTGCACCCAAGAATGAATTTCAATTTATTCTGTTACAAAATCCTTAACACATCCATTCAAAAGTTGATTAAAATGACCCAGTAGCATCTCCTAGAAATCACTTAAAACATAATGGCCTTACGAAAGAGAGCAATAGGGCATCCAAAGAAGCTCTCTTATGCACTCTTCCCTCACAGAAGTTTTGCTTTTTCCACTGAGATGAGAAAAGAATATACAAGAGAGTGGTAATAGATACTTTCATCACACAAAATACCACTCTGAGCCTCGGACAAACAGAACATTTGCTACTTTATCTACTTTTTAGTACAAGAAGATAGATTTTTATGAAATTTGATGCTGGAGGGAAGCACATATAAAGTGTTAAAGTACTTTTTACAATCTTGTGTGTCTGCCTCGTACAAAATTAATCGTGATTTGTAACACTAACACAATGTTCTACTGAAAATTGAATTGGGATTTCAGCTAATCAAACTATTCCAGTTGGGGGGAATGGGGGACATTGTCAAAGAAAATGAATTATTGTGGTCCATAACATATGGTGCCCACGTTCCAACCATATGTGGTAGGTTATGTTCATCGCCTCGTAAGTTTTCAATGACATGACCTTTCTTGTCATCACCTGCAATCAAAGTTTCATCAGTTTGTTTGGTATCTAGGGCTTTCTTGCCCAGTTTCAACTACGAGTTTTACACTGTCAGACAGAAGTGCAGCCCTCAAATCTTCTAACAGGGGAATACGTAGTCAATATATCTAATTAGATCAAAATATTCATCAGTGGAATCTATCCACTACTCCACTAGCCCAATACAATAACAGCTTTACTTCTAAGGATTATCGATATATATGTATTTCAATTCGATCAAAAGGTCAAGAACACATTATTAACCTCGTTCCCCAATCTCTTGGATTCGACCAAAAAATAATCCAAGAACACTCTATTATATGTTTTAATACACAATCAAGCATATTAAACACTTACTCAAAAGAGTCAAAACTCATGGCTTGATAAAAGATATCGTTGTTCATTTGTGTTACCCACATTAAAAGCTAAGCTTTATGAATAGATATGAAGGTACACTCCACAGCTCTTACAGTCTACAACACTACTCTACATCAAAAATCTTCATTGTACAACCGGTTGCACTTTACACAAGGTACAACCAAAGGTCCAAACTCCAAATCCATTATTTGACTCATGTGCTCACAAGTTACAAGCACATGGGCAAAGAAATAACCTTGATACCATGCACAAAGTACAACCAGTAGTACATAGAAAATTGCGCTCTACAACCCACCTACATTTTCAATGTCGCATAATTTTTCACTAGCCAACAACCACCTCTAAGTGACTACACTGATTAGAATCCCATGTTTTAGTCAAATCATACATAGTGACCAAAATAAACAAATTTAGAACACCCACCATCATTTTCAATGTCACATTATTTTCACTAGCCAACAACCACCTCTAAACGACTAAACTAATTAGAATCCCATGTTTGAATCAAATCTACATTTAGTGACCAAAATAAACAACTTACCCCTTTTTTGGGTAGGGCAAGAGGGTGGTTGAAATCAAATTTGGAACACAAAACACTGGCATTTTTTTTAAATTGCTTTTGATTGACAACAACTTTAAAACAATAATTTGTCATTAAATCGAACAAAATTAAACTTCATTGAAAAATCCAATAAGACAATTCCAATCAAATTTCATTTTATGCTCGTCAAAAATTGATTGATTTAGACATGATTTAATGCAACTTCGTGCATCTTTGTCAAACAATACAACTCCACATATTTCCACTTCCTACGAAATTCTACTTCACATATCTTTGTCGTAACAACTCCAAAATTTTCCACTTACTCAAAATTTCATGTACATTTTTATATGAACGAGGCACTCTAATAATTTAATCAAGAAGCCATGAATATAATCATATCTACTTATAAGGCCAACAAACACAACTCCTACAATCTTTTTAGCATCAACTAAAATAATAATATCACACATCTTTGTACTACATTGAACATATCACATTATTGAAAATTCTACTTAAAAATTTTGCAGCTAATATCATAATTAATGGCAGTTAATCAATATCATAATTAATTAAAAACAAATTGCAAAATAAGAAAGTAAAACAACAAAATTAGTATAAAAACAATGGCAGTAAAATCTTACCTAGATTAGAAGAATTAGAAGCGAGTAGCATGAGATGAATTTGCAGAAAAACCACCCAGAAAACCCAAAATTATTTCATTTTTTTCGCAGTTTTCTCTCTCCTCAAGAGTGAAGACACGGGATTCTGAACTTCATTCGAACAATTTATTTTTTCCTTTTATAAAAGTTCTTTTTGTTTTGGACAGGTGGTGCAGTGTTATGGAAGCAGGGGAGAAAAAGAAGTTTGCTTTAATAAATAGAAATGGAAGAATTTTAGGGAATATAGAGAAATAAGTTTGGAATTGTCCTTTTTTGTTTGTTAACGTTTTTTTGGGTTTTGGGTTTTGGTTTTTGGGTTTTGGGTTTATCCACTTTAAAGGATGAGCTTAACATACAACTTTAGTTGTTAGGCCCGTATACCGTGTGTTCACATTTGATACTCTTTTCGTTTCAATTTACTTGTCCCATGGATTAACTATTTGTATAGGTTTTTGTTGAAATGTAAATGTGGAGAGAAAAAGAAGAAATATAAGTATATGAGAAAAATAAGATTTTTTTAAAGAAAACGAGACAAGTCAATTCGTTAATAAAAAGTCATACGACATTTACAAATGAAATCTAAATTAACAAATACATAAATTAGTTTAGAGAGAGTTATTATCTTTAACAAATTCCATAGTTTATGTCTATTAAAAAAATAAAAAATTTACATAGCACTTCCTCCGTTTTCTTCTACTTGCAACATAACCTTAAGACACGCGGTTTTAGGAGTTGATTAGTAAAGGTAAACGAACGACATTTTCAAAATAATTTTAACACTATAGAGAAGGGTTAGGTATCATGTGTAAAAATTATCTTAATTAATTTAACGTTTACATTATATAATCTCGACATTAAAGTGCGTGCCATAAGACTGTGTTGCAGATATATAAAAATAAAGGAAGTACAATGCTAAAATAATTTGGTTTTGGGCATGATTATTTAGGCTATTTTAAGCTTAGGCATGAAAATTTTGAATAAAAATGTTCTGCCCAAATAGTTGGCTTAATCCAACCCAATTTTCTTTTAGCTAGAATTTAAGCCCAAACTGCTAGCTCTTGATCAAGGCAAAACCTTGGCCCAAAGATGGCTGGTTCCGCGAATCCACGATTGAGGATGTTAGTTATGGAAGTTGGAACAGTCAACTGTGGCATATTGGCATGAATCACTTCAAAATAACGCATGCATTTAGTAGTCCAGCATCATTAATAAATTAATACGAAGTACTATAATTCTCCCTCAATTTTTAAAGAAAAAATGGAAACTAATAATCCTACCTTTTGGTGGTCTTCTCTAAACAATCTCACCTTTAATTAATCTCAAAATAATCCCACCTTTAAACTTCATCCGCTCAAAATGGTCCTTGATTGATTGTTAACCGGTTTGATAGGTTAACGTGTCACAATTCTATTGGTTTAGCATTTTTAATATTAATTCTAATTATTAGAAAAGCTTTCTCTCTCATACCTCCCCCATCCTATTACCCCTGCTTACTCAAAACCACCGTCCACAGCGTCTACGCTCCCTCCGCCGTCCTTTCTCTCACCTCTCCTTCACCACTTTCGTCGTCATTAACAAACACCCCTGCACCACCAGCCTGCCTGTATCAGTGGGACAGGTTTAGAGTGACTTGGGTGGGGTTTTTATGTTGTGGGCTTTTAGTGTGAGGTAGATTTTGGTGGTGGAGGGAGGGTTGGATTTTGGGTGTTGGGGTGGGTTTTCGGGTTGGGTACGGTCTGGTTTCGGGGTGTTGGGATTCAGTGGGGTAGGTACCGTAGGACTTTGTGTGGTCCAGGTGGTGGGTTCAAGTGGTAGGAACAATCCGGTTTGGGGTTTTCAGTTTGGGTTAAGAACTTGTGAGATTCCCAAGTGGGTTTTGATAGCTGGCAAGTGGCGAAGAAGGAGGTGGCTTTGCTGGTGGTGGTTGCCTGGTTGGTGAGCCCTTGAAGTCTTGGTATTGTTGGTGATGGTGGTAGTGGTAAATCTGGTAATGGTGGTAGAAGGCCCTTATTAAAAATATAAAAAATAAATTAAAAACAAAGAAGAAGATGATTTTAACCTGTTTAATAAGTAACCGGTAAAAAGGACTATTTTAAGAAGATAAGGTGTAAAGGTGGGATTATTTTGAGATTAATTGAAGGTGGGACTATTTAGAGAAGACCACCAAAATGTGGGATTATTAATTTCCATTTTTAATACTTGTTTTACTTTTTATTTCCGGCCATTCTTAAATACTTGCTCCATTTCCTTATTTGAAAAGCTTTTATAATATTTAATTGGAAAAATTCATGGCAATAATCCGACCTTTTGATTATTATTTAATAATCCGACCTTTGGGGGTCTTTAATTTTTATTGGTCCCATTTGACCAGAAACCGGTTGAAGAGGTAATTTTTTTTTTTTCCGGTTTAAAATACACGTGTCATTACATAATTGGTAAAAAAAAAAAAAAAAAAAAAAAAAATTAAAAAACCTCAAATAATTCAGCCACCAGCTCACCACCATCCCCACCACCACCCAACATATTTTTTTTTTTTGATTTTTTCTTTTCTATCTCCTTTCCCCATACAACACCATTGCTCCACCCATCCCCACCACCACTGCACTACTGGTAGGGGGGGGGGGAGGGCTGAGTGCCTGAGTGGGAATTTGTGGGTAGGGGTTGGGGGTTCGCAGAACCACTGGTAGGGAAGGCGGGTGGAGTGGGTGTCGCCGAAGATGAGGCTAGGTGGGGGTGACTGGGTCGCTGGATATAGTACGGTCGCCGGTAGGGGATAAGTTGGGGTTTCGCGGGGCAAGGGGTTGGGGGCTGGGCGTGGGATCTCGCGGGCAGGGGTGAGGGTTTGGACGCCAGTTAGGGTCGGGGTCCTGGCAGCGGTTGGTGGTTGTTTGTGGCTGGTTGGGTTAGCAGGGTAGGTAGCGTGGGTGGTGCCATGGTGGGTTGGGGGCTGGTTGGGGTGGGATTGGTGGTGATCAAGGGTTTGGTTTTTTTTTTTTTTTTTGATTTTTTTTACCAATCACAGGCCGCCACGTGTTATGTAACCTGTTTAAAAATTAAAGACCCCCAAAGGTCGGATTATTAAATAATAATCGAAAGGTCGGATTATTAAAAAAGAATGGGCTAAAGGTCGGATTATTGCCATGATTTTTTCCTATTTAATTTAGTTTTCTTAACTAGTGAATCCAACATAAATCATATTTTATTAATTTCATATTCTCTCTCCTCCAATTCTTTCAACTACTTTTGCTTTTTTATAATTTTTTATTCTTCCACCTACCCCAGTACCTCCATATTTTATTACTTTCTCCAACTTTTTTCTAAAACTCCACGTATGGAGAAATGGAGCAAGTATTTAAAAACGAAGGGAGTATAAGTGAAAGCAGGAAAGAACATACGTAGTACTGTATATAATTTTCAAATTTTTTTTTTCATAAAGGCCCTCTTAACGTTGGTTGACACTATCAAACTTGAAACCACAAGCAACCTAATTGAGAATCAGTTAGAGCACACGCCTATGCACTTAAATTGAGCATCAAGGCGGAGAAGTCAGAGGTAAGATATTTTTTTTAATAAGAGTTAAGAGATTAATATAATAACTTAAACAGCCTTGTCATTCTGTAAGACCATTTTTAAGAGATTAATATAATAACTTAAACAGCCTTGTCATTCTGTAAGACCATTTTTAAGAGATTAATATAATAACTTAAACAGCCTTGTCATTCTGTAAGACCATTTCATATTTACTTTGTCACTTGCCAAAAACTAAGATAAAAATATTAACTTTGTCGTAGTTATCAGTCTGCGTACATTTTGCGACCTTTTGGCTATTTTGTACGTAAATTGTTGAATTTTACTTTATAGATACGTACATATTCTCTAAATAAAAAGAGTAAACCATTTACCTTTTAGCACAATCAAACAACGCAACATAGAATCATTGGATAGTGAAGAGAAATAAAGATATTTAAACTCAAAATTTTAAAAATAGTCCTTATTAAATGGTATTATAGATTATTTTTTAAAAGCCAAGAAACCATATCTTATACTATACAAGTCTTCTATATTATTTTTCAATTTGTCAAATTATATTTAATGAGAAAGGGTATTAGTCAATGTTATCAATACCTCCCCAAGTGGCCAAATTGAGCCCTTTTACTAGGAATTAAAGTAAGGACGATGTCATCCAAGTTAAAGGTTTGATAAATTCTTGTATCAATAAATGTATTATGAAGAGCTGAGTATTTAATTGTTTTATATACTAACAAACATATACTTTAATTTTGTTAAGTTTTATTAACAACTAGCCTTAATTTATTTTTTATCATTTGAATTTGACATTCCAATTGAACGAGTCGGCTGAATTGTGTTCAATCGATCATATCTTATAGAGCTTACAAAAACTGGTTGAAGAACGCGATAATTTCTTACAACAATTTGTACAATTGTACTGTAAGAACAATTCGTTCATCCAAAAAAAACAACTGATTGCCTTGTACTTTCCTTATAAGTACGCACCTACACTTCTAGTATGTCATAGTAACAAAACAACAACATACACTTTACTAAGTAGTATTCGTACTTAAATTTTATTGATTACATACTCTTAACTAAGAAAACATGGCTAGAACTAGGGCTATTAGGACGAGTTCATCATCTAACGCGGCACTGGCCGTTGCACTTCTCTTGATGACTCTTGTAGGTCAATCTTATGGTCAGTTGCAGCTTGGATTCTACATAGGAAAATGTGGGAAGAACAACGTCGAAAAAGTTATTTTCGACATTGTTAAGCAAGCTTTCGATAGAGACAACAGAGTTGTAGCTTCTCTTCTCCGATTGCAATTCCATGACTGCTTTGTTAGGGTAATTTCTAAACTTCTTTGTGTAAATTTTTAGTTTGTATAAAGTTTATACCTTATTAGTTACGTACTAATATATATCAACTTATTGATCATTTTAGGGATGTGACGCATCTGTCTTGTTGGATGGAAGAGGCTCAGAAAAGGTTGCATCTGGAAATATTGGTGTTGGACCTTATGATCTTATCGATGCTTGCAAGGACAGTTTGGAGCAAATATGTCCAGGAGTCGTTTCTTGTGCAGACATCATCGTCATAGCAACTAGAGTTGCAGTTTTCTTGGTATGTTACATGAATAATTAACTAGAAATTTTACTACTAATTCAATATTGAGGCGTACAAAGTAGCTAGCAAGCATGACAAAGTACGTAGTACTTCGTGTAATATTATAACTTACACAAAATACGGATATAATTTGTTTAGGCTGGAGGAAGATGGTATCGCGTTGAAGTTGGAAGAAGGGATGGTGTCATTTCACTTGCTAGTGAAGCGGAAGCAAACCTTCCTGCATCAACAATCTCCGTTCCAAACGCCATTGATGTATTTAGAAGAAGAGGCTTGAACACTCAAGATTTTGTACTTCTCTTAGGTATGATATCAAATCCGGTATTAAACTAGTATAGAGTTTAAGTATATCAATTTATCGACTTACATGTTACATATAGGGTGCCTACTATAAAAATTTTTGGTAGCTAGTCATCCTTAAAATGATTTTTTGAGTTTAACTTAGCTTGTTCAATCCATTGTACCTTATAGGTGGAGGACACACTGTTGGACGAATTCATTGCTCATTTGTGATGGAACGTCTCTACATTTTCCAACGATCAAGGGGCTCAGACCCAACCATGAATCCAACCACTTTCTCATCTCTAAGTACAACATGCCCTAGAAGTGGATCAAACAACTTCGTTTTCGCAGACCAAACCCGAGGAAGTGAGTTTAAAGTAGACAAGGCTTTCTACCAAGCAATTAGGCAAGGCAAGGGTGTACTACCAATTGATCAAGAAATTGCACGCCACCCACGAACCGCCGGTATTGTAAGAAGGCTGTCTATGACCGGGGACTTCACCTTTGAATTCCCTCGTGCAATGGTTAAGCTTGGTAGGGTTGGTGTTCTAACTGGTAAACAAGGCCAAATTAGAAGCAACTGCCGCCGTTTTAATTAATTAACTAATTAATTAATTAATTTATATACACATCCATTTCATTTTTTTGATCGTTACTATATGTAATTAAGAACAATGACCAAATGTTGTTGAGTTGTTTTTACCATTAGCTTTAATAATAATAATATTGCTTTGGAGCAATTGTGTGTTTATTTTAGACTGTTGATTGAAGTTTGACTTACAAATTATATATTGAAAGAGTTTATAATAAAAGTTCTATTTTGTATAGGGAAATTCCTAAAATATGTACTCATACACAAATATATAATTTCGGTCAAATGAGAAGTTCCTTAAAATGAGAAGGATTTTATGTGCATAATTTTTGTATTGAATGTGCATATTTTTAAGGTAAGATGAAGGACCCTACTGAACTGACATTTCTCACAAGTTTAGCCAGCCCAGCTCTGCAGGTCATCGCTTGAGAGTAGAGGGGGGAGGTAAGGGAAACCTCCTACTCCCAAGCATTTGTATAGTTGGTGCCCCACTAACTCCATCAAGCATGCTTGGTTATATCAACGACATGCTTAGCTTGTAAATATGTGTAAACTTCCCATTCAATTTTTTTATACAACATTTGGTTTATAAAATACATCATTTAGTTTTAAAAGTGCATCATACTCTAAATGTTCAAACTTTATATTTGCCCTTAATAAAATTTAATGAATTTCCCAACATATTTTTAGATATTTAGGGAAATTATATACCAAATTGATTTTATTTTTAAAGGTAAGGTGAAGGATCCTACTGAATCGGCATATCTCACAGCTTAAGCTAGTTCAGCCGCGCAGGTCAATGCTTGAGAGCAGAGGGGGAGGTAAAAGAATCCCCCTATTCCCAAGCAAATATATAGTTGGTGCGGTCTGAACTTGTGAACTCAAAGTCACAAAGTAAATTCCCCATCAACTCCACCGAGCTTTGCTTGTTATACTAAATTGAAATTGATATGTACCCAGCCAGTTGCCCTCATTTGTGTATTTGTGCGTACTCTTGTTATCTTTGTACAGGTGTACGACCTTTCCCAATCAATGATTTGCCTGTTTTGGGAAGGTACTATTTTCTTTTTCATTTTTTTTTATATCAAGGAGGCAAATGAATAATTTATAACGAGCTTTATTATGTTGAACACCTTATTCCTTAATAATTAATAAAATCCTTGAACATTGTAACCTTGAAATTTTGTACATTATTCATACACACTGCTCTAATTGTAATTTTTGAATGATACGTGTCGTGAAAAAAATCCATTTGATAATTTGTTTAACTCATCTCGATATATACTTTTATAATATTAATTTTTTATAATTTTTACTAATGTATAAAGTATAATTGAAGTCTTCTTCTTCTTTTTTTTTTTTAATTCTTTTTTTCTATATCATAATTAAAGATGTATGTTACTGATACATATAAATAAAATGTACAGTGGCAATTAAACATGTACGATTATTATGTAAATGGAGTAATAATAATCAGGAGAGTACTCTGCAATGTAAATTGTAAATTCACAGTACATTAGAATGAATTTGACAAGTCTCTACATATATATCGTACACATGCCTTAAAAATTTCAGTCAAGTATATAGATCTGTTATTATTCACTTATCAAGAGGTGATTTTGAGAATATTAAGTAATTCATTAATCGAACCGAATAATTCATTTTTACATGAATTTTGGTAGAAATCACATTAAATAAAAGTCCTTCGTCATATTCGTTTGTCCCCCAACTTGGAGTGCATATATTATATTCGTAGTTGGGAGCAAATTAATCAGAGACATACATTATAATAAAAATATTCTAGATACTCCTTTAGTTTGTTACCAATTGGGTAATGAAAATTGCATTAATTCGACATTATGAAATGCACGTTAACATTTCGTGCATACAATCACCAATCAACTTAATTGGTTGTGCACTCAATTGTTGTAGCCTCGAACTGCCTCTGTAAATATGGATCTTTATTTTGGGTAAGTTATATCCAAAAAAAAAAAAAGAAATATATTTTTTCCAAACATTCTTCCTAAAAAGAAAAAAAAAATGGCAAGGGCTCGAGCAAGTTCTTCCTCTACCACAACACTAGCCATTGTTCTTCTCTGCATGACCCTCGTCGGTCAGTCTTATGGTCAGCTGAAGCAAAATTACTATGCTGGAAGATGTAGCGCCAATGTAGAGAGTGTTATTTACGATATAGTTTCTAAAGCTTACCAAACTGATAAAACCATTGTTGCTGCTCTTCTCCGAATGCAATTTCATGATTGCTTTGTTGGGGTATGTAGTAATTTAATGCAATGTTGCCTTAATTAACATGCATGGTTATGTACATCCACGTTAGATATTACGGAGTGTTAAATTGTAAATGATAGATTAACATGTACGAGTATTTCATTTTTGTTGAGCAGGGATGTGATGCATCCATCTTGTTAGATGGAAGCAACGCGGAGAAAAATGCACCATCAAATGGTAGCGTTCGAGGTTATGAACTTATCGATGCTATCAAAGCAAGATTGGAGCAATTGTGTCCTGGAGTTGTCTCTTGTGCAGACATCATTGTCGTAGCAACTAGAGTCGCGGTTGCCTTGGTATGCATTACACAAACTAGCTAGTTTTGCAACGTTACTTGTCATTGGATTATAAAATTGAGAAATTAATAGTGTTAGGACATGATGATTTAATCTACTAACACATAATGTGTTGAATGATTTTTCTAGGCTCAAGGAAATTGGTACATTGTTGAAACTGGAAGAAAAGATGGGTACTTTTCATCTATTACTGAAGCTGAGAAGAACCTTCCTCCACCAACAATCTCAGTTTCAAATGCAATTAGACTATTCGGTAGCAAAGGATTGAGCGCTAATGATTTTGTGCTCCTCCTAGGTATAGTAATTATATCCAAAGAAATACTTTAACAAAGTTGATTTAGTATATAATTATTTCATTTACAAATTAAAACTAGCATGCATATTTATAAACTTATATATTACAGGAGGTGGTCACACCGTTGGAGCCATTCACTGTAGCAAATTCCTAGACCGGTTATACAATTACCAGAACACCGGTAGAGCAGATCCATCTATGAATTCAGCAACCCTTACGTCGTTTCGACAAAGATGTCCTAGCACTGGATCAAACAACTTTGTTTACGCCGACCAAACTGTAGGAAGTGAATACAGGGTGGACAATGGTTTCTACAAGGCGATTTCGCTAGGCAAGGGTGTGCTCGAAATTGATCAACGAATTGCAAGCGATGTTCAAACTAAAAGTACCGTGAGCAGGTTGGCTTACAGTGGGGACTTTGCTACCCAATTTGGTTACGCTATGATCAATCTTGGTAGGGTTGGAGTCCTTACCCAGGGTCCGGTCAGGAGGAACTGCCGTCGTAACAACTAATACCACAAACGTACGTACGCAGTGGCGGATCCAAGATTTCCGAGATAGTGTGTCACCATCAATTATTGATCATTTGTGAAAGTATAATTTTTTTTTCCATGTCTTGTTCATAATTAATTTCAATCCAAAAATTATATATATATATATATATATATATATATATATATATATATATATATATATATATATATATATATATTTCACCAAATTGATTTCAATCCAAAAATAGGACACAAAAATACATACCACAACCAAATACAGTACTTAAGAATTCAATTTTACAAGTCGAAAATACTACAAATAACATGTTATAAACAAATGGTACAATAAAATTATTATATTGAATCAACTTTATGATTTTTTATTTAATTGATAAGCTTTATGGGGAAATATTAAAATCGGTTGTACAAATATAAGATATAAAAAGGGAAAAAAAATTATTAAAAAATTATACAAAAAAAAGTGAGATAACTTAAGAGACCAGTTATTAAATATAACTGGTCTCTTTAATGAAAAAAGAAAGTAGCGCAAAAGAATTGCGAAATGCAATAGCAGTATCAAAGAGACCTCTTATATAAATAACAGGTCTCTTTAATATTTAAGTAGCAATAGCAGCATTAAATAGATCGCCTACCTTAATAAGAGGTCTCTTTGATGTTGTTTGTTGTTACCAAAGCAGCATCAAAGAGACCGCCTATCTATAATAAGAGGTCTCTTTGATATTTTATTTTAAAAAAAAATACTGTGTCACCGGACCCACTATGACTAAAGGTGTGTCCGCCCCTGTACGTACGTACCACAATATGCATGGTCGTTGTCCCTGGTGTTACTTTTATTTGACGGCTTAACTATCATTCTTTAATTCAAGCTCTTATGTACTTGTTCGTTTTTTCATTACATTTCTTCATTTGTCTTTGATTTTGATATGTTATTTTGGAGTAACAAAGTGTTTGAATTATATCTATATGGAACTATGTAAGTTCCAATTTTTTTTGTTTGTATTAACAAAAGGCTTATACTACAATGGGAATCATTTTTATTTATATAATAATCTAATCTCTATTTAATTTCATCCCTTTGAAATTCATTAGTTCTCAAACAAAATATGTCCTTATTATATTTACTTTCTCTCTTTCCGAATTTCTTCATTATTCTATCTCTTTATTCACTTTTCTTTCCCCTTTAAGGTGGGCTGGTAATAAGAATATTGCATGGGTATAGTAGAACTTAAATAACCAAAGCTGTAAAAAGATCCAAGAAAACCACAAACGCTTTTTTTTTTTTTTTTTTTTTTTTTTTTTTTTTTTTTTGTTTTTTCAATATGATATATTTTTATTTCTTTTGATAGAGTATTAAACGTTGAATTTTTTCCTCTAAGTTTATTAGTACATTGTTTAAAGTTATTATATGGTCAAACACATAACACTCTTTAAAATTATAGGGTTGAAATAATGAAATCTATACAAGCTGCAATTTTATGTTAACCATCGAAAAGTCATACGTACGTAAATTTGATCCTTAGGAGGGAAGGTTTTGCCTAGCAATTAGTGGTTAGTCCATTATCAAGGGGCAACAATGGAGTCGTTATGACAGACTTATTTTCACGGTCATTTTAGAAACACCCGATCGCTGACTTAAACGTACAAATTAAAAAGACATATATTTTGTATATTTTTAGAGTGTTATTAAAGAATTGTTATGTGTTTATCATGAACGAGGGACTAGAAAAACATGTATCTTGGATGACAATCAATATATAAAATCGATCCCTCCCCATCAGCCACCAATAATTTACGATGAAGATCCCAGTTTCTAGCTCCATCATGGAACGAGGGACTAGAAAAACGTGTAAGCTAGATTGTATCCACCTCCTTTCTAGATTGTATCAGTCACTTACATAATTTTAGTGTCATATGGTACCATATGGTTGTGATGGTAAGGGGTGCATAGTTGTACCGAACAAGCCTAGGCCAGGACAGGGTCATATACGGGTGGTGGTGGCATATTATATTAGAAGCCATGGTGTGTGTAGTACGTATTTAGGAGTGATTTATCAAATGAATTTTAAATAACTCCCGAAAGTCTAAATCCCCTCTAATAAGGCTGTATGGTTTGAGGCCGTGGCTAGTCAAACTAAAAAAACAGCAAATTAGTGGTTGACATTACATAATTAATAGTAAACAATTTCAATCAATAATACTATATATATAATATCAACATAATTCTCAACTAGAAAGGCTTATTGTAATTAGGTACTAAATATATTAATTATAATAAGAATTAAGATAATTCTACTAATAATTAATTAATTAGTGTAGAAGATTAATCTCTCTTTGAAGATCATTGTCATTTGATGATCAAAAACTTAAAATTATTAGTTTTTCGATTATTTAGTACGATATATACTTTATAGTGGAATGCACGTTAATTATTCTCACAAGTCGTGCATACATGTAACTTAGCAACTTTTAGCCCAGAATTGTGTTTAGCAGGTCGTGCATTTAGGCCTATATATATGAAACTCCATTTCTTGTAATTCATATAAACCAAAATATATATAAAAAAAAAATAATAAAGCATTTACATTTAATTTGTAGCACAAAATGGCTAGGGCCAGAGCAAGTTCTTCCTCTACTACGACACTAGCCATCTTTCTTCTCTGCATGACCCTCGTCGGCCAGTCTTATGGCCAGTTGAAGAAAGGATTCTATGACGGAAGATGTAGCGCCAACGTCGAAAGTGTTATTTTCGATATAGTTCTTAAAGCTTACCAAAATGATAACACCATTGTCGCTGCTCTTCTTCGAATGCAGTTTCATGATTGCTTTGTTGGGGTAAATTAAATATTTTTATAATTTATAAGCTACATTCGATGTGATATGCTAACAAGTATAATTTGTTTCCGTGGAAAGGGATGTGACGCATCCATCTTGTTAGATGGAAGCAACGCGGAGAAAAATGCACCATCAAATGGCAGTGTTCGAGGTTATGAACTTATCGATGCTTGCAAAGCAAAATTGGAGCAAGTGTGCCCAGGACTTGTCTCTTGCGCCGACATCATTGTCATAGCAACTAGAGTCGCAGTTGCCTTGGTATGTATTATACATACAAGTAGTACTTGATTTTATTATATATTGGAAATTCGAGAAATATAAACTTAAGACATCCATGATAAAATCTACTACTAACACATAATATGTTGAATGATTCTTTTAGGCTAAAGGAAATTGGTACGATGTTGAAACTGGAAGAAGAGATGGATTCTTTTCAACTATAACAGAAGCTGAGAAGAACCTTCCTCCACCAACAATCTCAGTTTCAGACGCCATTACGCTATTCAATAGGAAAGGATTGAGTTCTTATGATTTTGTGCTCCTCTTAGGTATAACTTCGAATAATTATTTATTGGTAACATATATTTTTAAAACTACACTTTAATTTAGGAAAGTTGATTTAGACTACCTTGGGGTATTATTTGTGAGATATAAAATATTCTAAAGTTACAAAAAATATGAAATGGAGATAGTATAAAACTAGCTTAATTAATGATGAGTTTGATCATACTATAGGAGGTGGTCACACCGTTGGAGACATTCATTGTAGCAAATTCCTAGATCGACTATACAATTACAAGAACACCGGTAGACCAGACCCATCTATGAATTCAGCAACTCTTAGTTCGTGTCAACAAAGATGTCCTCGCAGTGGATCAAACAACTTTGTTTTCGCTGACCAAACTGTAGGAAGTGAGTTCAAGGTGGACAATGGTTACTACCAAGCAATTGCACAAGGCAAGGGTATACTTGAAATTGATCAACGTATTGCAAGTGATTCACTTACCAAGGATTCAGTGAACAAGTTGGCTTGGACCGATAACTTATTTGCCTACCAATTTGGTTACGCTATGGTCAAGCTTGGTAAGGTCGGTGTCCTTACTGGCTCACAAGGTCAAGTTAGGTTGAATTGCCGCCGTAACAACTAACAACACCCACCACAATCTAAATGGTTGTCGAACGACGTTGTTACTTATATTTGATGGCTTAACTATCACTCTTTCAATTCAAGCTCTTATGAACTTGTTCGTTAATTTTCTTTACGATTTCATTTCTTCATTTGTTTTTAATTTTGATTTTTGTTAAGGAGTAACAGAGTGTTTGAACTATATAGGTTCTTATTTTCCCTGTTTGTATTAACAAAAGGCGTATATAATACAATGGGAATTGATCTTTCATTTATATACAAGTAATAATTTTCATATTTTTCCTTGTTAGTTTCTCCTTAGTTCTTACACAAAAGATTGACACACTCTATACTTTTTTACATGTTGTCAAACAAAATGTGTCCCCTCTATTCTTTTAGAGAGCACTCTGCAATCTGCATGATTTAATTTTTACCACAATTTGAATACTTTATTTTAACATACCTTGAGTCCATTGCTAACACCTTTAAATGTTTAACCACTTTAAGTTTATCGGTTTATTTAAAGGTCGGCACGTACTTTAACTTTTTCTCCTGCCAATTGATAACATGAACATTAAATGAGAAGATATATTAAAAATGAATTTAGCGAGTAGTTTGATTCTAGCTCTTTAGTTGAACTTCAATTAAACCAAAATTAACTATATAGAAAATTTCTCCAAATCTTATTTTGGAATTTGTTGGAGATTAGTCAGAATTTTTACAAATTATAAGTTAAGACAGTAAAGTAGTCTAAGGTGAAAAAAAAAAATGAACAAAAGATGATGGAAAGCCAAAATATATACTTGTATGACATAAAAGGTGGTAAGTATTACAATACGTTATACGTAGTACTCCCTCCGTTTTTAAATACTTGCTCCAATTTTCATTTCCTTATTTGGAAATCTTTTACAATATTTAATTCATTTCTCTCAACTAGTGGACCCAACGTAAATTATATTTTATTGATTCCATATTCTCTCTCATCCAATTCTCTCAACTACTTTGGTTTTTTTACAATTTTTTATTCTTCCACCTATCCCACTAGCTACCTCCATATTTTATTACTTTTTCCAATTTTTCCTAAAACTCCGCGCATGAAGAAATGGAGCAAGTATTTAAATGAAAGGATTGGTGTCCTTCGAACAAGTGTATTATTCCGATAGAGGGTTCGGAATTAATTACAGAGTTAATTATTCAGTGAAGTCAAGTGATCGGAAAATCGCGCTAGAGGCCATCTCCGATCAGTGAGATTAGTTATATTAATCTCATAGCTTTCCTTTTATTGAACCCAATGGGTCACACCCAAGCGTGCAACCAAACTAAGGTGATGAATTCAACTGAAGGCATTAATACGTCAAACTAGAGGATACGTATTCCGACGTCGGATTCCAAGCTTGGAGTGTCGAACCCGAACGTCAAGTTAAATTCTAGAAATTGACGAGACGTACAAATAAGTCAAACAACGAATTATAAAGTCAAAGTGCATAGCCCTAACCTCGTATCGGACTAACCGTACGAGGGCTAGGTTATATAGCACATGCTGCCGCAAGCACCAGCAACCTGCAAGGGCGTGCGACCTTGCGAGAGCAGCAACAACGAGCAGCAGCATGGCGTGGCTAGCAAGCCCGCATGCTGGCAGCTTGCAACAGGCCGCTAGCACGGCATGCCAGCAAGCTCACAGCGAGCTATGGCTAGCGAGGCTTGCTAGCAAGCCCGACATGGCAGCCGAGCAACGTACAGCAGCCTAGCAGCTTGCGTGGGCTTGCGGTGCGTGCTAGCAGGCCCATGCCGAGCAGCGCGCAAGAGCAGCCCAGCCGAGTGGGCTTGCGGTATGGCTAGCAAGCCCAAGCCAAGTCAAATGGCCTTGACCGGCCATACCTTGGTGCCCAAGGGTGTTGACCGGTCATATGCTATTGTGATTGGTGGGTTTGGTGACTTGGGGATCAAGGAGGCCATGTGGCTCTCCTTCTGGTCCTCACTTAACCACTCCCATGTGATTGCCCCTTGTTGCTTGACTCTTTGTTCTAGCTATTTAATTTATTTTAGAATTAAATTAAATACTAGCTTTTCTCAACTTTGCAAAAGTCCCACATTGATTGGAAATCAAGGGGATGGAGATGCTTCACTTATAAATACCCAAGGCCTCCCTATCTTGGGAATACTTTGCAAGAGTTGAACTCTATAAAAGGCATCTCCATTGAGAAAACCTTATAAAGAGATCCTCTTGTTTAGTAGTGTTAATATTGCTCTAGGCGGTAATATTAGCCAAGTTTGGGCACGCGGGTGGACTGCGTTGGAGGGGTCGCATTTGAGGCTCTTTCTCCGTACGTGAGTTCGTGTTCGTGCTAAGTGAAAAACACGCATCAAGGGTATGATCGTCTTTTCTTCTCTCTCTCTCTTGTTGTTATTAATTATGTGTTTAATTAATTAAATATTAGCATGCATGTTTAGTTGCTTTAATTTATGCATGGATCTTTGGGCGGGTTTTGTTTCCGCGCGGTGTCAGACACCGCAAAACCCAACAGCGGTATCACAGCCGCATGCATTTAATTATTGTGACTAATAATTAATTAAGGTGATTTAAATGGATTTAAATTTCTGGTTTTGCTTTCTAATTAGATTAGAAGCTCATTTTTTAATTAGTTTAATCTCGTATTTATGCTAATTTTGGCTAAAGAACCCCAATTTGGACCCAAAATAGTGAAGTTTGGGTGGAATCGACGTTCTAAATCGTTCTTTATCCACAAAGTATTTAAAAAACACGTTCCAGAGGCCAAAATCCACTTAGAAAGTGGTTTTTTTGAAGGGTTTTTCGTTTTTGACGAAATTTTTTTAAATCTACTGCAATTATAACCCTTATTAAGCATGTTTATGAAGTCATAATTGGTGCTTAATTTGGTGAGCTCATTTTTCACATAAACTTGCAATTTCACATTTTTGCAAAATAATTTCTTGGAGTGTGAATGTTTATGGTGAAAATGTATATTTGAAGCCCCTAAATTGTTCAATCTTTAATTGTTTATTTAGTTGGATCTTAGCTTTCTAAATTCCATAATGAACTAATTTTTGGTTTTAATCATTTTTGAGTTGATTAAAATCTTAAATGTTCAAACTTGTGCTTGGATTATTATTGTTCTTCATATTGGAAGATTACAATATTCAAAATTTACACAAGTTAGTGTTGAATAAATTTTTCATTGGATGATTGTGTTTATTTACAATAGTGGGAAGCATTGAGGACATGACACAGTTATAAGTTTTTGTTAGAGAATATACGTAGAATTTAATTTTCTCTTATTAATTAAGTTTAGGAATTTTTTTTCTTAAAGAATATATTTTGCATGTCCAAGATATCAATCTTTACATACATAGTATATTGTTAGCTACACAAGAAACTAGCCTAGTTAAAAGGAAAGCGCATTCAAATTATGAGGTGGTACATGCAATCTTTGCTAGGGACAATTTGGGAGTGGAGATTCCTTTACCACACCTTCGCTAGGGACAAATATGTTTCTGATGTGTTGATAATCTTGTGGAATAGAATCTTTATTTAACCGATTTCATCACTTCAATCCCAACTTGAATTATTTAGCCCAGAGCGAAAACTAAAAAAAGAGGTCCTTAAACAATTGAGTCGTATTTCATAAATAATAAGAAAATTTAACAGGAATAATCAAACCTTTTGTCCGTTCTCCCATATTAATCCCACCTTTTGATTATTCCTCATTAATCCAACCTTTATACCCCTTCTTCCCATATCACACCCAAATGACCGGCTACCTAAACAACTGGTCATCCCTTCCATCTCCTTCCTCTTACCATTTGCCATCATCTTCCTCCATTACCACCACCCAAAGCTCCACCTCCATTTTATCTTCCCCTTCAATTCTTTCTTCCTCCTCCCCCAACCACCCCTGCCCCTTCTCCCTAGCAGACATGCCACTGCCCGTCCCCCTCAGCCAACTTGCTTTCCCTCCCCTTCCCTGTAGCCTCCTTTCCTTTCAACACCCACACACAACCTCCCCTGCTCCCTCACTCGCAACCTCCATAATCAGCGGCGTCTCTCCATCAGCACACCATCAATCGCCTACTGACCGTCCACACATCACGACCACCGTCGCAACCCCAATTGCATCAGCCGCTGCTGCTTCCATAGCAGCCCCTGCCATCACCGTACAAATAGCCACGACCCCCCTTCTCTCTGTAAAGGGTGGTGAATGGAGGAAGGTAGGGAAGCAGAAAGGGGGAAGGAGCTCAGCCCCCCAAAACCCACTGCCACACCATCGAAATAACCCCTCATCCTAACAACCGCCGAACGCGTTGGTTTCCGAGAGGTTGGTTTGTGATGGGTGTGAGCGTGGGTTTCATTTTAATTATACCAGGGTTTTGCCGGGTTCGGCGGTTGTGTGGGATGAGTGGGTTTGTAGGTTCTGTGCGGCGGTTGACGGCGAGGTGAGGGGTGGTGGTGGTGTGTATGTGTTGGTGGTGGCATGTGTGTTGGTGGTGGTTGTTGTAGGTTTGTGGTGGCTAGAGGAGGTGTTTTTGTTGGGTACATTAAAGGGGAGGTAAAGTGGTAATAGAGGAAGAGGCCATGGAAGGAAAGGAGAGAGAAAGAAGGATGGTGGTGGCTATGGTGGTGAATCTGGTGATGGGGGAAGAGAGAGAAAGAAGAAAGAAGGGTGTTTTTTTTTTTTTTACATATTAAAATTAAAAAAAAAAAGTAAATTATAAAAAAAAAACCAATTAGGAAGTTCCACGTAGCACTTATAATCGGTTGTACCGGATTGGTGACCTACAAGGGTTGTTGTGAGAAAAATGGGGGCAAATGTCGTTGGATTAATGAGGATTAATTAAAAGGTGGGATTAATAAGGGAGAATGGACAAAAGGTTGGATTATTCTTGTTAAATTTTCGTAAATAATATTCTCTCCATGTCTAAAAGAATGACCCTTTTGGGCATTTTTCACGGGTATTAAGAAACTTAAGTGGGGAGTACAAGTGTATGGGGGAGCTAATAAAAGTACATTGAAAAGGTAAATTTACATGGAATTTGTAAAAAAAGTAGAGAAAGTAAGAAATAAAAGTAAATGGAAAAAGTAAAATTTACATGGGAAGTTGCGCTAATTTTGCACAAATATTATTGCAAATTAGAGGGTATTTTGATGCAAATGAGATGAACATATAGGGACTAAAATTTGGACAAAAGGGTCGTTCTTTAAGGGACGAAGGAAAATATATGGACCAAATAATTCATAAATTTTGAATTAAATAGTCCACCAAAATTACGATAAGCGTACTTAACATTGCATGAATTTTATACTCCGTGTCAATTTTTTATTTCAAAAAAAAAAAATTAACTCTTTTTAGTCAAATAATGAAAATAAAATTTAAAAGAAAAATGTGAGGCCCTGAGCTGTTGCTCAAGGTGCTCATGCTTAAAGCCGAAACCACATCACTTGTAATCTTTTATATATGTTTTTTTTAGGTACCCATTTGCCTTATTTTCACACATATGGATGTGCTACAATGAGATAATTTTAGCAAGATCCAATATGACTAAATTTAATTTTTTTTCTTGTATATTTGTGAGAATTTGTGGTCAAACTTCAAACTTTTTAACCGAGATTAGAATAAATAATTTTTTCTTATATTATAAGTATACGTCATAAATTTTATCAATCTATTCGGTTTTTACTTTTTACTTGACTTGTGGACTAAGTCAACTATATAAAATCATAACTTGACCAATTGCCATCTCAAAGTCAATGTTTGAAGTTGCCACATCAATACATCATGTTTGTCCACCAATCCCCAACCCACAACTAAGGTGCATGTATGATTTTAGCCCTTGTAGGCTAGTTAGAGACATAGTGGTAGACAATATAAATCCTTCAAAAATGATATAATTATCCCACTTGGAATAATTAATACTTGTATAAAATATGATAATAACGGTTCTACAAACTAAGTCATTGATTCGAAAATAGAATGGCCTTTCTATTTGTGGATTGTCAACTGGTAGAAAAATATTGAAATTTTTTTGACTATGTATTATGGTTGAATTTTTTTAGTGAAATGCACGTTATTTGGATTTGAAACAATTCGTACGTGCATACATGTATCAAAAAACTTGGTCGTCTAGCCAAGCGTTACATCATGCCAAGTTCGTTACTTCATAGAAAATCTTCTCTATAAATACAAATCAATATTTCTGTTACATCATAATAACAAACACAAATACAAAAAAATTATAAATACAAAAAAAAAAAGAAAAAAAAATGGCTAGGGCTAGAACAAGTTCTTCCTCTACCACGACACTAGCCATTGTTCTTCTCTGTATGACCCTCGTCGGTCAGTCTTATGGTCAGCTGAAGCAAAATTACTATGCTGGAAGATGTAGCGCCAATGTCGAGAGTGTTATTTACGATATAGTTTCTAAAGCTTACCAAACTGATAAAACCATTGTTGCTGCTCTTCTCCGAATGCAATTTCATGATTGCTTTGTTGGGGTATGTAGTAATTTAATGCAATGTTGCCTTAATTAACATGCATGGTTATGTACATCCACGTTAGATATTACGGAGTGTTAAATTGTAAATGATAGATTAACATGTACGAGTATTTCATTTTTGTTGAGCAGGGATGTGATGCATCCATCTTGTTAGATGGAAGCAACGCGGAGAAAAATGCACCATCAAATGGTAGCGTTCGAGGTTATGAACTTATCGATGCTATCAAAGCAAGATTGGAGCAATTGTGTCCTGGAGTTGTCTCTTGTGCAGACATCATTGTCGTAGCAACTAGAGTCGCGGTTGCCTTGGTATGCATTACACAAACTAGCTAGTTTTGCAACGTTACTTGTCATTGGATTATAAAATTGAGAAATTAATAGTGTTAGGACATGATGATTTAATCTACTAACACATAATGTGTTGAATGATTTTTCTAGGCTCAAGGAAATTGGTACATTGTTGAAACTGGAAGAAAAGATGGGTACTTTTCATCTATTACTGAAGCTGAGAAGAACCTTCCTCCACCAACAATCTCAGTTTCAAATGCAATTAGACTATTCGGTAGCAAAGGATTGAGCGCTAATGATTTTGTGCTCCTCCTAGGTATAGTAATTATATCCAAAGAAATACTTTAACAAAGTTGATTTAGTATATAATTATTTCATTTACAAATTAAAACTAGCATGCATATTTATAAACTTATATATTACAGGAGGTGGTCACACCGTTGGAGCCATTCACTGTAGCAAATTCCTAGACCGGTTATACAATTACCAGAACACCGGTAGAGCAGATCCATCTATGAATTCAGCAACCCTTATGTCGTTTCGACAAAGATGTCCTAGCACTGGATCAAACAACTTTGTTTACGCCGACCAAACTGTAGGAAGTGAATACAGGGTGGACAATGGTTTCTACAAGGCGATTTCGCTAGGAAAGGGTGTGCTCGAAATTGATCAACGAATTGCAAGCGATGTTCAAACTAAAAGTACCGTGAGCAGGTTGGCTTACAGTGGGGACTTTGCTACCCAATTTGGTTACGCTATGATCAATCTTGGTAGGGTTGGAGTCCTTACCCAGGGTCCAGTCAGGAGGAACTGCCGTCGTAACAACTAATACCACAAACGTACGTACGTACCACAATATGCATGGTCGTTGTCCCTGGTGTTACTTTTATTTGACGGCTTAACTATCATTCTTTAATTCAAGCTCTTATGTACTTGTTCGTTTTTTCATTACATTTCTTCATTTGTCTTTGATTTTGATATGTTGTTTTGGAGTAACAAAGTGTTTGAATTATATCTATATGGAACTATGTAAGTTCCAATTTTCCTTGTTTGTATTAACAAACGGCTTATAATACAATGGGAATCATTTTTATTTATATAATAATCTAATCTCTATTTTATTTCATCCCTTTGAAATTCATTAGTTCTCAAACAATATATTTGAATGGTACCAAACATTTTTTTTCAAGTTTACAAACAAAATATGTCCTCCTTATTATATTTACTTTCTCTCTTTCCGAATTTCTTAATTATTCTATCTCTTTATTCACTTTTCTTTCCTCTTTAAGGTGGGCTGGTGAAAGAAAAAAAAAATGACATCATCGATTAAGCATATTTATTAGTTCATATATTATAAGATTAATTAATGTAAATTAAATTATGCATGCTATATTCAGAAGTTAATTCAATTCGAAAAAATCTTCAACTTACATATGATCGTGCCATAAGTTTTGATTTTTGTACATATATGATGAAAAAATAGGTCATTTTATCCCAACAATTAATATGACTTACAATAATAAATTCTCCAAATTTCGAATTGACACATATTAATCGAGATTAAGGGTGCTCATACCCAATGGGAGTAGTTTTTAATCAAAAGTATGATTAATCTATACACGTACACTTTCGACGTACTTATCCATTGGATCGGACAAAAGTCTACACATAATAAACATATGGTGTGACACGATGTTGGCTGTAGTTCACGTTTAGTTATGATTATGGAATGATTGACGATGCTTAATGAACATTTTGTTTATGTTTTATTAGTATATTTATCTAGGTTATCGTTGTAAAATCCTTCTTTCGGTTATTATTTTATAGTTTAGCACAATTGTCTCCTGTCAAAAAAATAAAAAAGGTTTAGCACAATTGTCTAACACTGTCAAACAGCTTTTCCGCAAGGTATTAAGGAGACAAGTCATATTATTGCAATCATGATCTGGTCTTATACTCATTAATCTATAATTAAATTATATATCCTACAAAGTTTAATTATATTGTTGGATTATTTTTATTAATCCAATAGTTGGAATTGATATATGTTGGGATGACATTAATTTGTTGCAGAGCATCAAATCTCTAACTTTTAGATAATGTTAATCACTTGATATAATCGAACATTAAGTAAATCAATCATCCGAATACATTAACAACATTTTTTTTAAATTTTTTTTTTATGTATATATGTTTATATATAAATTAAACTCTCAAGCTAAAATAAAAGTTAGAATCTCCTCCAGCTTGCATTATTGCTTATTTTTTAGGAGAGACTCAATTATAAATATTAAATAAAATAAAAAAACGTTACAATTATGACAAAAATAACGAAGTAAATTAAATTAACAAAAAGAATTAAGAATTGCTTATGTATGTCTTCCAAATAAAACGAAAGGAATTGGCAATGTCGTCAATGTTTGTGGTGGTTAACCGCACCGCAGTATTTCCTAACCTCTCCTTGCTTTCCGGTGAGAACACCGATTCGGCCCATGTTAACCATGGCTGGACCAAATCTACTCTCGAAGTAACCAGGAGCATAAGCTAGCTTTTTCACAAGGCTGTTGGTCAAGGGAGAACTTGCAATGTTTGAATCAATCTCAAGAATTCCTTGGTTTACCAATAGGTTCTTGTAGTAAGTATTGTCCATGCGATAATGACTCTTAGGGTTGTTTTTGAAATAAACTTGGTTTTTACTCCTCCTTGGACATGTCTTCTTCAAGGCGTAGAGCATGTTGGAAGTCATCTTTGCATCTGGCTTACCGGTGTTGTGGTAATTATATAGACGGCTTTCAAATTTGTCACAGTGTGTAGCTCCAACAGTATGTCCTCCTGTGCAAATGATGACATTGTTATTATATATCGATGTGCAGGAGATTGTTGTACCCATACTAAGATAGTTATATGGTAGAATATTTTGATAAAGATTAGTAAGTAACGTACCTAGAAGAACAACAAAATCCTCCTTACTTAGTCCTCTTGAAGCAAAAAGGTGGACGGCGTCACGTACTTGCATATTTTCTGATGGAAGATTTGCAATGGCTTCACTTTGATGTGATTCAAAACCATCACGTCTTCCTGTTTCTACGAAATACCATTTACCTCCGGCCTAATTGAATGTATGGGATAAGCTAGATTAATAATTTGATTCAAAAAATGAATTGATTTGGTGTAATTGATTTGGTATGGTGATAAGCTAATTAATCTTGTGTTTATTTCTTGTTTAGAGAGATACTCCTAATTACTACAATTATATATGGAAAATTTGTATAAATATAAAATTGATAAAAAATGGTCGTGGTTAATATAACTAAATGAGTTACATTACTCACCAAAAAGACGGCACTTCTAGCAGCAATATTAAGTACATCAGCACAAGAGACAACTCCTGGACAAGCTTTCTCTAGAGCTGCCTTTACAGCGTCCACGACATAAAATCCCTGAAGGCTAAGATTTGGTGATGCGGTTTTCTCTGTTTTTGGTCCATTGAGTAGGACTGATGCATCACATCCCTTTTAACAGGAAATAAACACAAGATTAGTTTATTGCCGTGCCAAATTAATCACACCAAATCAATACAGGTTATTACTTACCCTAACAATGCAATCATGAAATTGTAATCGGATGAGACCAGCAACAATAGTTGGATCCCTAGCAAATTTAGCCTTAACTACGTTAAAAACGATCTCTTCGACATTGTAGTTCCAACATTTCCCGTTATAGTAGCCAACTTGTAGTTTTTGCCCATAACTTTGGCTAATAAGGGTCACAAGAATGAGCCCTAGAGCTAAAGCTGCCGAAGAAGTACACCTCATCATTTCTTGTACCTTACTTTTTTAGCTATAAGAAAGATGAGGTGATTATTGTGATCAATCAAGTGATGAGAATTGCTTAGAAACTTTCCCTTATTTATAGTGAAGCTAATATAATACTTAAAAGTAAAATTGTAGCAATTGGATTTAATAATATGCATATTAGTACTATGATTGGATAAGTTTATACAAAGTTGAATAATGTTATGAACGTGAATTATATTATCCCCTCATCAACTACTTATCATTATTATAGCTTAATTATCTTTAGAAAGAATAATTTTGGCTTATATCATGCCAAAAGTATGATTGGTACATCCCAAAACAGACATACTTACTGACTTCATGAATTAATTTAGCTATTATTCATTTGTTGGGTTAAGTTCATTGATCTTGTATTAGAGAGTTGACACGGATTTACTGTTTTTCCCAAGTCAAATTATAATCTTAAAAATATATAATTAGCAATTAGGCTTAGGTGGAAGGGCAATGGCACATGGATTTGTGACAAAATGTGAATTATTTTGTATATTATATGGTTTTATATCAATATGCAAAAGTACTTGGGTTTCGAGTAATCATTATTGTACGTGTTTGAACGGTTCAACGGCTTCATCCCAGCACATATGATCTGCTAAGAATGTCTTTAACTTTTATATTTTGTTATTAATTTTTACAAGATAAAAATAAAATTATAATTTGGGTAAATTGTATTTTAGTTTACATATAGCTGGCTCAAAACTTACCTTGATTATATACTCCCTCTTATTTTTTTTAATTGCAACTTTTGCTATTTTAGTCCGATTTAAATTAAATGCAACTTTCTATTTTATTTCTATTTTGGGTAAACAAAAACCCTTAAAATTACTACTTTACCACTACTTTACCAAGTGGTGGGCCAAACTTTCTCTCTCTACACACTACTTTAAAGTATTTTACTCACTACTTTACCACTACTTTCCTAAGTGGTGGGCCAAACTTTCTCTCTCTACACACTTTAATCACCTTTAATTAACCCCACTACCACATACCCCTTAACTTTTGCCTCGTGAATCGCAATACTCATGAAAGTTGCAATTAAAAAAAATCGGATGGAGTATTTATATTTGCATGTAAAGCATCTAAGCTATATATAGCTTGCACTTTTCTAATCAACTTTTCTATAAATTTTGAGAGTTTCCCTATTGTACGTAAATGGAGTAGTAGTTTAATTTCAAATGATATGCATAGTTAGAGGGGTTGTCTGCTGCCATATTATTTCTAAACCTAACAAAACTAGCTACCTTGGTCATATATATTTGATTAGCAAACCCTAAATGCTCGAACCTTGATGACTCGAAGTGAAATCAATCTGATCCTAAATTCCTATATAACCTAGCACAACGAATGATGTATTAATTAATGTGTACATTTTCAGCCTTAAAATGACATCTACTAATATGATTAGGAATTTTTCTACGGTAATTTCATCATTTCCATTAAGACATAATGCATTATTCTTAGGTGAATAGTAAGTAGAGCCAATGCATTTAATTTGTGACATACCAAAAAAAAAAAAAAAAAAAAAAAAAAATTAATAAAAATTAAATTATTGAGCTAGCTGCTAGGAAAGGGACACTACTCCAAAGTCCAAACACATAATTATTAAACGGCGTAATAAAACATCACATGCATTATACTCTTCTAGCTTCACGTACTACTTGTCTTATTTCATAGCTTCACTGCCTTCACATGCATCAATATTTCTAGCTTCTTATCTCATTTCTATGTAAAAATATTATTGTTGAGTTGGTTATAATAAATATTTTTCAAATATCTTATACAAATACAGTTTTGCTCGCTAATTCTACATACGTATGTAAGATATATATTAGATAATTAGTTATGTTAATGTTCAAATATGTGGTTTAGTATACGTGGCAGACCAAAATTGGTAATTAAGGCATCTTTAAAAGGAAGATGTATGTGACTATTTAGTTGTAGTCGATACATGTAGATTATGCTTGACGTACTGTTTGGCTTAGGTCCTCGGTCACAATCAAATTCTTAATGTAATCTCTAGAAGTCATGAATGGCACTAATCTCAGAATGTGAGGATAAATGTTAATTTGAAAATTTGTAAGTTGTATGTATACTAATTTTCTACAACATGTATTAAAAAGTGTCCTAAACAATTACATTCCTTAAGTAACTAACACTTTGCTTTTATGAAGTGGATCTTCCTCCACGTCATCCACATATAGATTAATAAAAAATAAAATATAAAAAAATAAATAAAAAGAAATAAATTTCATTTTTGGTAAGAATATGTGTAAGATTATTAGAACTCATTTCCTCAAGTTTCTACGAGTATTACTTGTTTAACACTCGCTCATCATCCTCATGTTTATATGGCTATGATATGGTGGTGCCATGTCGAGTTATATTTGTGTCAAGTTTGTCACCCGCATATATACCTGCTCAGTCTACACCCATCTTTAGTTATTAGTTATATTACACGGGCATTTTTCTCATAACATCTACTTTGGAAATATTGGGAAGAGTTTCGAAAATTGAAATAAAAATTGCTTCTGATTTTTTTCACTACAATTGCATATAATTATTTTGTGAGTCACTCCTATGAGTAAAGTAAGGTTAGGATGCAGGCTAATAATATTGTACTCCGTACTTGATATTGTCGATTCAAAAATGCTAAACGGCAAAAAATATAATGAAACGTAACTTCTTTTTTTTTTCTTAAAAAAAGAAAATTAGGATTAGAAAGCAAAACAAAAGGCAAAACACTATTTATTTGTGTCGCGTACTTACGTATTAGCAAACACAATTGAAAAACTTAGCTTCTTTGACTATTCCGTAGAATAAAGGCACATATAAAGGTGAACAAAAATTTGTCCCTACATTTTTTGTCTTGGTGATGCAATGATGAATCTAATTCAGCGCATTATCACATGGAGCTTCCCATGCATATCAACTACGACCCACCTTCTATTAATACAACAACGACAACCTCGACAACAACAAATAACAAATAACAAAGAACAAAAATTAGAATTGGATTGAGAAAATAAAACTTTAACTAATTGACGGAACCACAAGATTTTCTTATCTCCCCTTGGTTGCCTGTGAGAACTCCAATCCTAGCCATCTTGACCATGGCCGGACCAAATTGGTCTAGGAATTGATTAGGACTTTTGGCTAGTCCGATAACTAGGCCTCTAGTAGAGGGATTTGATGCCAAGTTTTGATCAATCTCCATTACGCCGTTGTGTGCTAGAATTTGCTTGTAGTAAGCATTGTCAATCTTGAAGTGGCTATTTGTTGTTTGGTCTAGGAATGTTTCATTGTCAGTTTTACTGTTAAGAGGACATGTCTTTTGCAGAAGTTGGAGAAGAGATGGGCTAATGGATCGGTCTGGTTTGTTGGTATTTCGGAAATTGTATAAACGCTCTTTGAATGAGTGACAATGTGCAGTTCCAACAGTATGTCCACCCGTAATTACAATGTATACAGATTAGCTATGAAACAACTTGATTTTAATATAAGTTCTTACAAATGATAATATTTACCTAAAAGAACGACGAAATCATGTTTGTTGAGTCCTTTCCTAGCAAACAATTCTATGGCTTGAGGCACTGGCATTGTTGGTGGAGGAATATTTGCTTGTGCTTCATCTTTACGTGAAACAACTCCATCTCTTCTTCCGGTTTCTACTTCATACCATTTTCCTCCTGCCTGCATGCATACCAAGCAAAATTATATTAGCAAGTGCTTTTATTATTACTTACTTTATCCTTTATTAGAAAGTCAAGAACGTGAGCAGTTAATCATATATATAGTATATGAAGTAAAATCTAGGTATATATACAGCTAGCACTGTCAAACGGTTTGACAGTTCGGGTTTGGTTCGGTTTGAAATCGGTTCTGTATTAAATCGGGTCGGTATTAAATCGGTTTAAGTGTCTCGCGGGTCGGTTTCAGTTCGGTTTAAATATTTATCGGTTCGATTCGGTTTCGGTTTAATCTTGATCGGTTTTAATTCGGTTCGGGTTGTAAACAGTCCGGGTAGTAAACGGTTCGATGCAAACGGGTTGCGGTTTGTTAATGGTTCGGTGTAAACAGTTTTATCCTGGTTCAAACAGTTTCGGGTTGGAAGCGGTTTCGGGTTGGAAACAGTTCGGTTCTTTTTTGGTTCGGTTTATAACTGGTTCGGTTTTTTTCGGTTCAGTTTATAACTGATCCGGTTCTTTTTTGGTTCAATTTATAACTAGTTTGGTTCTTCTGCGGTTTAACGTTATTCGGATCGGTTCCATTCCGAGTTTACTAAATTACGATTCGGGTCGGTTTTCGGTTTCAAAAAATCAATTGTTTATCGAGTCGTTTGGATTTGGGCAGTTAAATGGTTTTGGTTTGAAATTTGATAGTATTTGCTGGTTAACAAGTTTTATATAAAGTAAAGACTTCATCATTTCATATTTAGGCATCATATTATAAACAAATTCACATTGATTTTATAAATATATATCATGTTCTGTTTCAAGTTTAGTCATATTGATCTTACTAGTGTATTACGAAGTAGATTATAAAAGTTAGTGAATTAATGTATTATTGTTTTACAACTAGGTTGTTATATGTTTCTTATTTAATCATTTAAATACTAGTGTCATAGTCATGATTTGATGAGTTCTTATTAAATGAAAATTTGCAATTTGGTAATTCGATACTTGATTAATCAACAAGACTGATAATTATGGCTCGTTTATCTTTATATATTTTCATGAAATTATGAAGATATTACAAAGTAGTTTGATTTGTGTAATGAAAGAAAACATTAATGATTTATTAACAAGGTAATATTGATTAGTTCAATCGATCGTATGTACACATTAACGCATAGCATCTAACCATCTCATAGTTAAATACTTCGTATGTATTAGTACAAAGTTATAAATTAGTGAACATTATTTTGATTGGATCAATAACTTGAGCTGTTGTTTTAAATTAAATTAGGATCATTGTTCGTGTAGTTTAAGTATAATGATCTACACCATCTCTAACTATTATTTTAATACTCCA